CCTAACAGTGACTATGCTTTTAATCAGTTCTGAAGACAGAGGTAGATGTTGGCCTCCTAAACGTTAAGATAAGTATTGTATTATTTCTTAACATTTTTTTTTGATAGGCAAAATTGTTGAATACAAGTTACTGCTATATGGAACATTTTTCTTTGTGAAAAATACTTTGATTTTACGCAGTAACTTATCGCGGTAAACTAATAAGTTTGCCCTTTCTACACTTGTATAAAGTTTTCCATCATAATTTTCACATTTTTCAGATTTTGGAAGGTGAAAATACCCAAAAAAGGTCGATAAAAAACTTTTAATCAAATTTCAAAGTTTCTGAACTTAGTTTCTTTATGAATGCATATCACAATGTTTCGTATTATTGCCTATATTATGTCATGTTTATTCAACACAAATTACCATTTAATACTAGTTCAAGTATAGTTTATATAATGAAATTTTATTATTAGGCTATTCCAAAAGTTTTGTCCGTTTTTATGAGTCTATTTTAAACTGTAACATCTCAATGGATAGTTATTCAATTTCGTCGAAATGAGCGACATTTGAATCAATGCACTTTTGCCAACGTACACAAATGAATAACTTGGTCAGTAAAAAATTGTGTGGTTCGGTGAAGTCGACGAATATTGTTTTTTCCTGGTCCTGATTGGCGAAGATGAGAAAGTTATCGAAGTGCTAGAAAAGATGGTGGTTGGTGAGGCAGAACCTCGAAATAAGTTTAATTTTCGGACGGTGATTTGTGAAACGTGCGGAAGGATGTTATCATGGAGCAGGATCGGACCTCTTCTGCTGGCCAGTGCCGGCTGCTAGTGACGCAATTTTCGGTACATTTCGTCGATTTCCTCACAATATGACTCTGCTATGATGGTTCGGCCCCGTTGCTAATTTCTGTCGATCGTTAATATCGAGGAGTACCCATTCTTCGAGCTTTTTGAATCACCAAAAACCGCATGGAAGCTAACGACCAGTTCTTTCCTCATCCCACACACCGTTTGTGATGGTCCAGTCTCCATCAGGGTCTTCAAACCCTCGTCCTAGATGACTGCAGGTCGACCACTTCGGGACATTAACACTATCATTGTCAAATGTCTGGTTAATTTTTCAAGCTGTTCCAGCAGCGCTTTGGTTCAATCTGAATTTGTAGAAAAAATTTGGCCAAAAATCGTTTAACGACATCATATAGTAATAAGCTGAAGAGAGGCGATAATTTCTCTATAGATCAATAGAATAAATACTTATTGAGATATGAAGCTATAAAACACATGCCATATAAACGGACAAAAATTTTGAAAGAACCTAATAGAATCTGAAAAAGTGTCTTTGGAAATCAAGCAGAGAAAACTTGAGATTTAATTAATTATATTGAAGTTGGTAAACTCAACCAAGAAAAGAGTAGGTACTTGAAAAAATTGAGTGGAATACTCCCATTTTCAACGTGTCGATTGTGCCGTTAACTGACTTCTTATTCTGATTTGATTATTCTTTAAAGTATTCATATTCGATTTTTTGGAAGAGAAATACTCGAAATACATTTTGTGTCATTTTTATATTTTCTCATCTAATACCTAAGGGCCTAAGAAAAATATTGAGATGTAAAATATACCAGTGCAGATATATCAAACCTCTTCGGATACAGCCACTGCTAATGAAATGGATTCCGTTTCACAATCACTTTCCAAAATTAATACATACTTTATCCCAAAAGGCACGAACGAAAACATTTTATCATCGGACTCTTGTAGGGGTTGTTACATTTTCCGGTACCGTGAATGTTTTTTATTGAAATCTCCTCGTCTATATGGGACGTACTTATGTGTGTGGACCGGCATGTTTGTACTATCAGTTATACACTACGCTAGGCAAGCAGGTATACATTCAGATATTACAGTGCACTTATGTTACATTGTGGGGGAAAGTTGGCTCCCATCAAGACAGACCTGAACATTCACCTACACTCTGAGGAATAATAAGACAATAGAATATTAAATATTAATAGTTTTACGTTTTTATATTAGAGAAAAGAGTATTTGAAAAATATATTATATTTTCGATAGTAGGTATTTACGATTATCTCCAAAAACAAATTGCTGCATGGATTCAAAAACTATTAAATTGTTGATTCTAGACCTGCAATGTTTTCTTAATGCTAGAGTACCTATTTCTTTCATGAAAAAAATGCGACTAAGATTATTGTTCAAAAGGTGTGTTTCAGATTCCAAAGACTGAAATAGTTTTTTCCAATCAAGAAATTTCGGTCTCAAAAGGGAGTTCATGTTCCCTCCATTTAATATACGTTTTCATTCCTTTCAAATACAGAGAAGTCGCAAGCAAAGAGATTTGTATTTCTCAGATATCGTTTACTAGAAGGAGCTGTTATATTACATTTTGAAGAATTTTTAAAATGAGGTAATTATGTATCTCTTTTGATAAGAATTCGAATAAACACCTAAGTAACATATTACTTCTCTTTTTGGTTGAGTATCGACTCCTTTGACTTGTCAAATAAAACGGAAAAATCAAATTACTATATCTAATTAATACTTATCGTATTTAATATTTCAATAATGATTAAGTACTACAGAATATGGGTACAAGAGCTGTTGTTACTTGTATACTTTATACTTACATTCATCATTATCATTACTATCTGTTCTTCGAAAATCTATTATACTTTATTTTAAAATAGAATAGGTGAGGCAAGTTTCTTTTCGTGTTATCTAAACGTTTCATTATCACAAGTTTTTGACGCCAAAGATAGAAAATTAATGATAATTTCTTAGTTATGGTGAAATACTTAAGTACTTCAAGACAATCACAAATAATGATTTAATAAATAAGTATTCATTTTTATGTAAGAAATTAAAATATAGCATTTATCCAAAGTATTTTTAGTATTCAAATTATTTCCTTGTTAGACAAGCGTACTTAATTTTGAAATAGAATATCTGAAACCAAACATTTGTGAAACACGTTCTTTTCCGTGTTATCTAAATATTTTATTAGTTCGATAAATTTTTAAAAAAGATAGAAAATTAATTAAACATTTTCAGTACCTACTTAAAGGCGAAATATTACAGGACTACCACAAATATTGGAAGAGCAATATCTGCCTTGATTTATCATGTGCAGATGTTGAATTCTGCCATTTGTTAGGTTAGGTTAGTATCTCTTGTACCTATTGAGTAACCTTTCAGTGAAATCATTTATTAGATATTATTATTACATTTTCTCATATTGATAGAGTCACATCAAAATATCTCTAATTTTTACGTTGTATATCTAGGATTGGTAACAAGTTCTCTGTTAATATTCTAAAAATTATTTTTTTCGTTGAAACAGTCGAATTTGAAATAGTATCACTATAGTGTGGTGCCATCCATCTTACTTACTCTTTTTACAAATGTTGACTGGAAAGGGTTCAAAATGAATTTTTCAGGTATGTTGCTTTTGAAATGGTTCTGCAAGTGGGTGACTACAACTTCAATGAAACTCAATCTCTACTTTATTTGACCTCATTAGAAAATGGGCGTATTCAGGTGGATTTGCTGTTCCTTTACAAGATATCATCAAGACACTTTCATTCTCCCAAATCACTCAGTTTGGTAAATTCAAAACATGGAAAATGTACACTTAAACTATGGATATACTCCATTATCAAGCGTTCTGAGTGAGGTCAATGAGTCAGGTCCGAATTTCTTTCTCAATTCTTTGGAAACATTCAAACTTACAGTAACAAACTAACAAACTAACAAACATATGGTAGGAAAATTGAGTTTGCTGAGAAGTTAGTTTTTAGATTAGTGTTAAAAAGTTTGGGTATTACTTTGGTGATAAAAACATGTAATATAATAAATACAGAGGTTAACCCGTTTATACCAATGAATAAATGAATAATTACTTTCATGTAAGTAGTTAGAGTGTAAAATACATCTAAGTAATTCATTTATTATATTCAAAACTATCGTCTACTATCATATTTTTCAGTTGTAATATTTTCCTGATACCTATGACGGTAAAATTTTTCTCCGTTCAGAAATAATCTTTTTATCAATTAAAATTTGAAAGTCACGTTCATTTGAACGTATCATATATGGGTATGAACAATATCTTCATCACCTTAATCAAACTTGCAATGCAATTCCAACGGAATGAAGCACGTTATTATAAAACCCTATAGGAGACTCAATGATGACATAAACCAGTTGGATGTGAAGTTGACATTGTTACTGGTTAGAACAATAAAACTAAACACCTAAACCGCTGAAAGCTAAATCTATGAATTTTAAAATTTTACTAATTCAAATCCCATATAATCTTGTATCCTGCAATGACGGTAATTATGAGAATTGCCACTGAAAAGATTCAAATGACCTAAAAATTAAGAGAGTTTTGTGATGGATGTTTAGATACAAACATGGTTAATCTCATGGTTAAAATTAAACAGTTTATTTATCGAAAATGATTTACTCCAGACAATAAATAGATACCTCGTCTCAAAATCAATTATCTATAATTAGCAAGCAGCAGGTCAGCAGGTATGTTGAATGAACTGGCAGATGACAGATGCTAAAAGATAAGCAGATCGCCTTCTCAAATACAGGTTCATTTGCAAAGGAATAATACAATTTTAATATGCTATCTAGTAAGCCTTCATCATTAGTACCAGGTAAATGAAAACAAATAAAAAAAGTAAAATTCATTCTATAGAACAGACCCATCACATCATTTTAGGTAAATTCCAATAAGAGAAATATTTTAATATTCATCTATGTCTCATGTGTCTAAGTGTACTCTAAAACTGTTAATGAACAAACTATTGTGCAAACAAACAATTCACCGATAAACAGAAAGGAACAGGTTCTCGATTTCGACGGAATATAAATAGGTCTACAAGTGAAATGAGTATGCACGTTGGGAGTCTGTAACGAAATTCAGTCGGCTAAGCCAGTGAAAACAAACTACATATTTGAAACACCCACGAATATACATACATTGAAGAGACTTCAGAAACATGAAGGTGGTCCCATGTTCACATTACATAAAAATTCCATAGCGCTCTGTCTTTTAGAAAATCTACATCACACAAAGAGTTTCAGACCATCAAAGTTGTTTATAGCAACGTAGAATTGAGAAAAAATCAAAAATCCGCCGACCGTACGATGAGAAAAAACCACACACAACTCCTATTCGAACTATTTTGTTATGCAGACATAAAAACTGAACACTATTTCGTCGGTCGTTGATACAGTGTAGTCGAGAAGTTAAAAATCGCGTTGGCTCGTTTAATAATCACGCGAAATTCGGTTCGAAATGCGAAAAAAAATCGTTTCAATGAAACCATCCAACGGGACTGAAGCGTACCGCAAACGCCAAACCGCGAGCATGAACTGACAAACGAGAGAACAGCATGCCATGACCGAAAACCGAGAAATAACGACGTACGCGGTCGGCTCCGAGACTCGCTCTCCGAAAGCAAACGCGATTGTCGCTTCACCTGAGGGAGAAAGAAGTTCGCCTAAGAAACAAGAAGTAAATAATAAATTCCTCCAATTCTACCTGTGGGCATTCGGAAGAAAAACCGTAATGCTAACTTGACGGCCGGCTATGATTACGCATTCGTCCATCGTATCACCTTATTCTGATTTCGAGAACGATCAATGGAGATTCTTTACGAGTTCAGATCATTTACAGTATTACACACATATCTGGTAGGTATGTGGTGTTTTCAATAGCAACATTTGTGTGAAAATCATACTGGTTTCATTATTATGATCAAGTCACGTTTTTTAATTATCAACCTCTCTTTTTATAAAAAGAAAGACTTCGACGTGGCTCACAGGACAAATGATAATTGAAACAAATTTATTGATAGCGATAAAGACAAAACTTTAAGAGTCGGGTAGATCAGGAGTATATTAGTTGATTTGTGGTTCATGCCCAAAAGTTTATATTGGTCAAACGAGGAGAACCTTTTTCCAAAGGATAACAGAACATAGAAGTAGTTTCTTGAATGTGAAGACCATTTGCAAACTACAATTTGGCAGAGGAGCATGAGTTCAGTCACGACTATGATCTGATACATTTGAAAGAGAAAATTTTGAAACCCAATCTTCTGGAATGCTTGGAAATGAATAGATTAAAAAATTTGAAACATTTTTTGAAAGAATAAATAGAACTGAATATTTTCATCTCATTAAAAATCAATTTTCTAATGGTGGAACCCCACCATTCAGTTGATGCGTTAACTCTGGAATTTTTCATGTAACATGTCCATTTCAATCACTTCGTTTCCTGATGTTCAAATTGGTATTTAAACTCAAAAAAATTGAAATTTGGGATAATGAAATTAATGCATGCATGCTTTAATCTGAAGTGAAATTGACAGATGAAACTTTCAAGATGGCGACTAGGCGCCATCTGGGAGAAAAACATTTAATGGAAAAGGGGGTCTTGTGATCAGTTAGAATATTCTCATTCAGTTTTCGGTTTTACTAGTAGAAAGGTACCACGTCAACAATCTCTAAAATGGTCAATTCTCGTCCATTGGAAGAAAAAAATTGAAGCGATTTTTATTTACGGTGCGACGCGTAACTTTCATGAAACTGTAGAAAATATTTGAGGAAACTTGTATACAAATTCACAACTACCGCCGGTGTCCATAACAAAAAGCCCCCAGGTCATCCGTCCATTCCGGAAGAACAGCAAGTGCAAATAATTGGTGAGATGGTAGTAAATCCTGAACAGTCTACTTATTCTGTCGTGAATGTTTGTGAGGAGTCTCCTTCTACTGTGTGGAGACTTTTGAAGATGCCCCTAGTAGAAGAACAGAATTCTGCAAAATTATGACGGAAACCATTGCAAGGCATCCTACCTATCTCCACAATATTTGTTTTAGCGATGAATGTACATTTTTTTGAACGGCAATGTTCAAAGACAAAATTGCCGTTATTGGAGTACATCAACCCTCACGTTTTCCGGTAAACACATACCCAATATCCAGAAATTGGGAAATTGCGAAAATTGAAGGATCTCTATTTATTGATCAAAATTTAACAGAGAAACTGTATTTGAATATGCTGGAAACTACTGTTGACCTTCTCATCACTGAAATCGTCGAAGCGATCCTAATGAATTCGATATGAATGTTGTATTCCAACAAGAATGAAACACCACCACATTACTCCAGACAAGTAAGAAACTATTTGGATACTACTTTTCCCGGTTGTTGGATTGGCCGTCGATACATAATGGCCAGCCCGCTCGCCAGATTTGACACCTTTGGACTTTTCTTTATGGAGTTATTTGAAGCAAAAGGTGTACGAAACTGAACCTGCTCCAATATTGGATATACAGCAGAGAATAATAAATATTTGTAGAGATATTGACATTACTGTGTTACTGTTTTCGGATCCATTTCAAGTCCACACTAGATTGAGTGAAAGCGTAATTTGAAGAAGTGCTACACTATTACCAATTGACTGATTTCCACTCGTAAGATATTGTTTTTGACTTACCAATCATCCGATGTTCTGAAGCTTCATTGACGCATTCGCATAGTATCAGTAAGACATATTTTTAGAGAAGACTTTTCATTTCAAATGAAGAGTAGAGCTTCTGGAGGCAATAGAATCCACAATGCCAGAAGTTACTTTTCGACAGCGCCTAGTCAGGCTAATTTTGAAACAGCAAATATCAACAAGGCGTCTGTCCCTGATGAAGTGCCCGTCATCGTACTTAAAAAGTGTGCAAATGAACTCGCACCAGTATTTTGCAGAATTTTCAAGCTGTCTTACAAGAAAGGGTTTTTTCCTTTTTGTTGAGAGATTGCTCGCGTTCAGCCTATTCCCAAAAAGGGCAAGAACAATCTTCCAAATAACTATAGACCAGTCGCTTTGCTGTCAGTGATATCAAAAATCATGGAGAAAGTCGTAAACCACCGAATCTTTAAATATTTGACAGGCTTCAACATTTTGAGCAATCATCAATATGGCTTTCGGAAACAAAGATCAACAGGCGACTTTCTATCGTATGTCACCCATATTTAGAATAACGCAATCGAGAAACATGGAGAAACATGGAGAATCCAGAGCTGTGGCGCTTTGTCCGTGTGTGGCAGGCATGAGGGTTTGCTGACCAAACTTCAATGCTATGGCTTGCCGGATCATTTTCATGTATGGCTTTTCAGTTTCCTGAAAGAACGTTCCCTGTAAGTGGCGGTCGATGGGTTTCTCTCGAATATTTTCACCAACAGCGCTGGTGTTCCCCAGGGATCCATATTGTCTCCAACTTTTTTTTTATTGCATATCATCGACTTATTTGAAAAAACTAAGAATCCAATATACAGGGTGCAACTGAATAAGTGTAAAACATTTAAGGAGGTGATTCCTCATCGAAAAAAAGATAGAATCCCTTGTTAAGGGATCCCTTGTTAAGATACAGCCCCTTAAAGGGGGTGCATAAAATTTGTATAACAGTTTTTTTCACAAGCACTGAAAAAGTTACAATATTGAAATTAACCTGACGTTTTGTACTACCAAAGAGACACATAGCCAGATCAATATTGTAACTTTTTTAGTGCTTGTGAAAAAAATTGTTATACAAATTTTATGTACCCCTTTTAAGGGGCTGTATCTTAACAGGGGATGCTCCAATGAAATTTCTTTATATGAAAGATCCTATCTTTTTTTCGATGAGGAATCACCTCCTTGAATGTTTTACACTTATTTAGTTACACCTTGTATACAATAACAATTTTTTAGGAAACAGCAATAATAAATATCGATTTACTATTTTCCTTTGCAACAAACTGACAGGAAATAATATTGAGTAGAGTAGGGACGGTGAGTGTAGTCCTAGGTCATCATCCATCCTATCCTTTCCAGGAAGGTGTAAAGGTCACTAGGAGACATCTCCTTTATATCGGCAGGTGTAGGCCAGGACTCGCCGAATACACACTCTCTTATTGACGATAACTCCGGACACTAGCATAGGACATGCCTGACAGTTTCATCTTCCTGTTCACACATGCTGCATAGAGGTGTGTCCACTAGCCCCATATTATGGAAGTGTTTTCTCAGTTGACAGTGGCCAGTCAGAAATCCTACTGTTAAGCGTAGGTTTTCCTGGTCATCGCCAGATATTTCTTCGGCACCAGCTTCCCAGGGTCGCCCAGGGTGATCCTGGCAAGGTTGCATCCTTTGATTTCATCCCATCTCTTTAGGTATTGAGCATGGGTGTAACTTTTGACTAGTTCCGCAATTGTCGAAGTCATTAGGCCGTAGGTGCCACTGGGTCCTAAACTTCTTAGTCCAGCCGTTTTCTTGGCTAAAGAGTCGGCAATGCGATTACCTTTACTCCTGTCGTGGCCTTTAACCCACCTCAGTATAATGTTATTACCTACCGAGGCTTTGGCCTAATCTTGATAGCACTCTAGTACTAGCCCTGAGGTAGCACGTTGTCTGTTCAAGGCTAATAGGGCTCGTCTGCTATCAGTGCAGATTGTTATGTTTTTGCCACAAATTCCTTTCCTGGTTATTTCTGTTGTGGCAATTGAGATACGAGCTAGTTCTGTTTGAACCACGCTCGTATTTTTCCCATTCCCCACGTAATCCTTAGAATTAGTGATCTGATGGAGTACATCCCACATACTAGGCCTTCTTTGGTTTTTGAGTCGTCTGTATATATGCGTATTGCATTTGTAGCATCTGGCTCTGTGTTCAAAAGGCTGTGCAGATCATTTATTTGTACAATACCATCTATATAGTTACTTTCATGATTTAGTTGTTATAGCAGAAGACATTGATGTGTTAGTGGTATTGATGACTTTGGTACCTGATGACAAAGAAATGTGTATGTGTTCAAATAGACAAAAACAATACTTTACAATATATATTCGACAAAAACCATCATGATGATATATCCTAATATTACAGCAAAACACTTCTTCTTCATTCATGTGATATTACATACACTGTTCATCATCAAAGGAAAAATAATATGGTCAAACATAATAGTTATTAGGTACTTTCAGAGATATACTGAATTCACAATTTAATCCTGAATGATGAAACCAGTACTTGATTACTCTACAGGGATTAAAGTGATTATTGTTGAATCATGTGCAAGCAAAGGCTAATTATATTTCTCTGTAAAACGGCGCAGGTTTTAACAATAATCAATCCCTGTTGAGTGCTTACCTGCTGGTTTTATTTAGGATTGAACTGTCAATTCGTCATTTTTGAAAAACTCAACATCTCAGTAGACAGCGGCTGCAGCAACATAACATATCAGTAGAGTTTACTTGAAAGTTTAACAATGAAATAATTATGCTCTACTTCCTCCTGAAGAATAGAATTGAAGAAGGGATAGTTGATCAAAAGCAATAAAAATGAAGCGACTTGAAGCTGTTTTCAA